AACAAAGAGAGAGATAAAAAGAAAACAGATGCGATCACAGCTATCGCTCTTCCTACCAACAGAAGTAACTTCGTAGATTCATTGGACCAAATGAACTACCAAGTGCTGCTCCACGACAGCAGACGAAGTAACCATCGTTCTGAACAAACGTGTTTACCCAGGTATCCGTGTCGTCTGGACATGAGAACGTGATCCGCGCATGAGGTCGAGAAGACTCTCCGGGATGAACATGGACTCGTCGCAAGTTCACGCGCGTCAATCGTGACAAGTTCACCACATCCTTTCAAAGCAAACCGGAAATACATAAGGAACGTCGCCAAAACGACTTATCCAAGCAAAAAACACCGATAAGGAGAACACGGCACGTGTCCCACATCAACACAATGTCAACGACACTATGATGATTCATCGATATCAGAACCGTTAGTAGGTCAGCCGACCACAAGGTCCTTCCACACAGACCGAGTCAATAACAATGCACTACGGCTCCGACATACTACTACGCCAATGCGGCACAGTTACAGACTTGGAACATAAGGTATTTACACCCATACAAGGCCTGATCCCCTTGTAGTTGCCATCGTGCGACGCACATGTCTACATCCAATCTCCGGAGAGTGCCCCGCACTTAATTCATATGTTCTCTTGTCCACTGATGTCGTGCCTTCCGTGACCTTGTCAGGGGGCGAATGCAATACACGCTCTTAGCTTTTCCGCGACTCGATCCTAGATAGGTTGAGTTCGACTCATGACTGAGTCTTTCGTGAATAGTCATTGAGACAGGGTTCTAATGACCCGCTAGTCATACTAGGTCGATGGTGAAACATCGCGCTAGATATTTAGCCGCGTGGAGAGATTCCACGCTACTAGATAAATGCTAGACGAATCTTCCACGCGTTCCGTTTTTGGATCGTGGAGTGAGTAGGATTGCTACCGCAACCTACTCTATCACACTCTACAGTCTCCCGCGGGAGTTCAGATCTACGATCCTTTGATTGTGGATCTCTCTCGTCGATTAGTTTTCATAGCTTTCTAATCCTCTCATAACTTTCATTCTCTCAAACTCAAAACACTCGAAAGATCTTTACACTAGCTTTTAGCGTAGTGCACCGCAAAGCCAAACCCTTTGCCCCCCCGTAATGGTCCTCCATTTCTTGCCCCTGATCCCACAGAACCTAGTCCTGAATTTCGACTGTTCTTTGCTTAAGCCTGGCCCCGGCTGGCTTCCGTAGCTAATTTCCCTACTCTAAACCCCCTTATATATTGTGGGGCCTGTTGGCGTTGAAAATGGGGACAGGGCACTGCCCATCTTTCCCGATTTTCCTTGCGTGGTACCGGTGGAGATTTTTTCCAGTCGTGCTTGTCAAGAGTCGCACCCGCGTGCACGTGCAGAGAAGAGAGGAGAGCCTCAGTCGAGTGACGAGTCGAGCCCACCCCCGTCACAAAAAGATGGTCACGGACTGTGACCACATCGGGTACATGTACTAGTATCTAGAAGGAATGAGAAAGGAAGGGGCGCCGTATGTAGTCTAGTGTTGCCCCCAACATAATGCTCCGACCGACGACCCGAGCACTGGCAGCCTCGGAGCCTCACTCGACGTCGCTCACTCCTCCACTCAACCAAAGCATGCGGCCAGTCGTCCACAAACCGGACCTGCTGTAAAGAAGAAACACGTGGTACGTCTACAACCCTGCAAACTGCTACCGTAGCAGCTGGTACCGTATACACAACACAAGACCAGGAAGCTCAACCAGCCAAATATAGATAGACATGGCACGGCCTTATATAAGCGAAGGAACTGGGCTGCTCGGGCAAGGTCGGTCGGGCCAATTCAGCATTGGCTCGAGGTCTCTGGCTTCGGAAGTCATGCATGCATGCAAGACCAGGACAGATTACTGAGGTGTTGTAGAAACTCCAACTAGCTAGGTCCTGTAGCGTAGCCAACACATACATGAGCTACAGCAGTGACTCCCAAAGATGATGCCTTTTCTGGCTCGGGCAAGGCTCAGCCTCTTCGAGCGCATGGAGAGTCCTATTGTGGGACGGTGCCTTTTGGGTTTACTCTGTTCGGAAAGCTCTGCCCACAAACATGCTGTTCGAACATGGATTACAATACAGGTCATGCAGGTCACCAACAGGTTTTCCCACTGTGGAGTAACTTTACAATTGGTGTTTTGGAATGGTGCAGGAGCATTATGACTCAACCCGGTTTGTTTCCCCTGCAATCTGAACGTGCTCCAAGGTGAATGAACCACCATTACACTGCACGGGTCATTTTTTCGGACCTGCCACCTCACTTTTCCCTTCTCATCCACTCACATTTTGGGATCTTCTCACTTTTACCGGTCGCTTCGAATATCTTCGTCAACTCTTTCCCATGAAGCCCGAGCATCATTCTGATTGCTACCGGTACCGGGTGCAGGCAGCAGCAAGAGGCGTCAACCTATTCTGGCGTTCTCATTTTAGATTAGAGGTGCGTTGCTGCTGTGATCAAAGACAAGCAAAGTACGTCGAGTCAAGTAACACGAGCAATGATGACGATGATGATAGTTCCCTCCCTTCTCTCGCTTCTTCTCCTTGCGGATGGAGCCTCTGCCTTTTCTTCTTCTCTTCCCCCATCCTCTTCCACGGCTCTTTCCTTGTCCCAACGGTCCTCTGCTTCCTCCCTACTAAGAGCCTCTTCCGTTTTGGATGACATTACAACCCAGAATAGTAGCCCTGGCAATGGTGATGATGATGGCGATGATGATGACAAAGATTGGTGGCACCGACTACAAGTCTTGTCCGACGGGTTTCAGGAACAATCCGGTCGCATCCTCTTTCACGAAAAGGAATTGATCCATCACGATGAAGATCTCGCCATGGCATTGAAGCAAGAACATCACGTCGACTTTACCGTCCCATCGAATTGGCACGATGCCATGGCACAGTTTACTCGTCAACCGCAGACTCAAGTCTTGTTGGGAGCTACCCTCGTGTCCATGATCGTGCGCCTCGTCGTGTGGCCATGGGTCGGTGTGAGTGATGTGGCAGCCGTCTTCTTGACCCCACTGGCTTATCAATTGCAAGAGTACGGATATCATCGTCGTAATTATCACGGCAATGACCGCGGCAAATCCTATTTCCCCTTTGCCTACCACGATCAGCATCACAGCTTGCCATACTACCACATGGCCATGGAACCCGTACATGTATGTGCCAGTTTTGTCGCCTCTGTCACCGCCATGGGCCTCGTTGTGGGAATCCTTTCACAGGCCGACAGTACTACATGTAGTACCATTGCCACGGTCCATGCGTCCTTTCTCGTCTGCAGTCTACATTACTTGGCCGTGCATTACCTGGCACACAGCAAGGTGCCTCTCACAGGACGGTTGCAACGAGCCCGGGAACATCACATTCAGCATCATTTGGATCATGACGTCAATCTCAACATGGCGGGACAAGCATTGGATGAACTCTTTCACACAACCAGCCAACCAGCGAAACAACGGGGCGGGGTGTCAGTGTAGAATAGGTAGATACAGTACCAGTGCAGGTAGACTCGGAAGCAATTGAATAAATATAACAAAAGACTAGCTAGCATGGCACTTATTCTTTCAGATCCGGCAGGGAAAGGCATGCATACACGACTAGTACTCAAGCAGGTACGTAAAAGAATCCGCACACACAGCCTACTTACAGAAGACACGCAACTACAGTACCGGTAGTACCAGTTCCTGAGGCGAGGTCCTATCCATTCTCCATGTGTGTCCTCCGTGCATTCGCGAAACACATTTATTTTGGTCGATTTATTTAGTTGTACGAATCAAGATTTCATTCCTATCCACATACAGTGGTTCGCAGGTTCGCACGCGAACACGAACCACCTCGAATATCAAAGAACAATCATATGCGATTTACACGAGTTTTCCTGACGTACGGTGATTGCGTTTTGGCAGAATCTGGTGGGTTGGCATAGCTATCCTCGTGCATGTGGATCCACCAGGATCAACCAGGATTCGTTGGGTGACTGACGACTGACGTTTTCGGAAGCTCGGCTGGCTCTAAGCGAAATCCATTTCCACGAAAGCTGCGGTACGGCGAATTGAGAATGGGAAATCAATGGTTCGCCGTACCGCAGCTTTCGTGGAAATGGAGTGAAAGCAAGCCGATTTTAACAGTTAAATTGATTTCACGAACGAAGGGAGCAATAAAGAGGTCACAATTGCTGGTTAGGACCGCGCCTGAAGAGGAAGGTTTCGAGCGCGTGTCTTTGTAACCGGCCGCGGAATGATCCACACGCGTCCTCCTCTTGGTAATGAAGAAGCTGCTGTCGCTAGCTGCTGGGTCGACCTAGCTATAGCGAGAACTGTCGAGCCCTTTGGTGATTGCTCACCATGCACCTGATGCAGCTAGCCATGATAGTCAAACGAACAGGGGACACATGTACCGTCGGCTGGCTGGTGGCGTGTGTAGGAATGCACATCCCCGCGTAGATCAAAGCCTACATTGATGGTGAGCTCGGGAAAAAAAACTGAACGTCTAATAACGGATTCAGACGAGATGTGCTTGAGGACTACCCACGAGCTAAGGCCCGGGTATTTCCCACAGTCAAGTCTGCTCACCGGCCACACTGGCCTCCTGAGAGGGTGCGACGCCTGTTAGCTATCTAAGGATTTGGATGGTGAGCTCGAAAGATCAATAGTACAATAGCCAATAGCCACCCTCGGCGTCTCAAAACGGCGAGTCTGGCCACAAAAGAAAAACAGCGGCTCTAATTCACAAAAGTGGAATGAACATGCATGAACTGGTTCAATGAACCGCCCGTTCACCAACCCTGGTTCATAGCTCACACAACAAGCAATCCTAAAATGAACCCTAACAAAAAAGTCAGTTCACAAACCTACAATGCTAAGAACAAGAGATGCAACATCATCCACCATCCACACCAGAAGTAAATTGGAAGCAAGGTTCAAAGGTTGGGCGACCGTACCGTACGGTACGGTATGGTATGGGGTGTTGCTGGTATACGTGTTCCAGTTTCTGTATGGTACCGGTACATCGTACAGTACAGCATAGCCATGCACCTCGTAACATTTGCTGTCCCTGGTTTGCCCGTATACATAACGTTATCTTCCTTACTCAAAAGCTAGGCTAGATAGAGACCCCCTCTTAACTTTAGAAAAGTGTGACTGGAGGTCTTCCCTCACAAGCGCACCGGTGCAATGTACTAGTACATCTTCCTTCAAGATCGCCCAAGCTCCAAGGCTCTGGCGAGGCTCATTTCTTTGCTCCACGATATGGCAACCATCCAACAGGGCTAGCTGTCTACCCCTGGCTAGAGTCAAACTAGAAGTTGCTGTACTAGAACTCCCAAACATGTGCTTCTGTGCTCTCATAAACCAGCCAATGCCATGATTACCAACCGATGCTTTCAAAGAATACCTGACGAGGGCGACCACGAGACGAGAGAAAGCATCATGATGGGTTCTTCTTCAGAAGATGAAAACAAGAACGCATGTAGCCTCTTTCAGATCTGGCTTGGAGTTCTTGCTTGTTTCTTCCTTAGTCTTGGTGTTGCGGCTGTTTCAGTGCAGCAACATCTCACATCCCAGGATCAACAGGATCAATGGCTTAACTATGACCTGACAATAACTTTCTTCCTCCTGTATACTCGGGCATTGATTCATCATATCACACTTGGTCTTCTCAAGCAGCACAGTGCAACTGCCAGATATCTTCCAAGCCAAGTACAAGATGACAGTGCCTTTTCCATTGTTGACAACCTGACATTCCTCATGTGGGCGCAAATAGTTGCATACTGGGTGATCCAAGCTGTATCACTTGCTGGTGATGATTTCCAACAATACTGCCTTCCCTCCCTCAGAGCATTGATGCCATATTATGTGAATGACAGGATACTTCATATTTAGGTGAATCCTCACCGGCAGCGGGTTGTTCACCATCTGGGGGTCATCATTGCTGTCCTATTCTTCACTGAATGGAACCCCTTTGTTCAGACTATAGCTATTGGTGTCTAAGGCAGCATTGTTGACACTTACCACAAAGGTGTGCTTGCTTGGCACACATGCCGATGCACCCGCAGCATTCCAGGAGCCATCCAGAATGGAGAGATGGAAATGGGGAAAGGGATCAGTTGCCAGGGATTGATAGTCTTTTGGTTGGCAAGAGTCCAGCATCAATGGCCTTCTATGGGAAGCTTTGTGCTCTCTATACCTACTTGTTTTGTATCATTGTTCCTATTGGGGTCCTCGTTGCCTATTTTGTGATGTATTGGCATGAAATGCCCCTCACCAACAAGATTGTCCAACCAATAATCCCAATCTTCTTTACTGCTGTTGATTTGCCTCTCTACAAAGCATGTTGGAAGACCAGTCTGCAGTCATATTGGGATCAAGACTTTGGGAAAGGACACAGCAACGAGGATTTCCCCAGCTCCAAGGCAATGACAGTGGATATGACCTTGATGGACGCAAGGACGCCCCTTGCTACCCGTGCCTCTGTCCTTCGTTTGGATTCCTGCACCTCTCTCATTGATGGCTCCGATAAAGTTGACCAAGATTTTGATGATGACAGGGCCGAATACGATGTCTAGAACCTGTAGCGGTTTGAGGTTTGAGTGGTTAGGCATGCAGAAGAACCTGGTCGGAAAGACAATTCATTTAAAAAAGTTAAAACACATAACATGGGTTGACTCATTGTATCATTCGGTTGTCATGGTCAGTCGTGACGGGTTCTAAACCGGCTCACGGAACCTTCTACTCGCATTGTGCAGTTTTCGCATCAGCCACGTTCAAGCAAATTTGTTACCAGCAACAACTGTCACATCGCGAGGCAAGGGAACCAATGGATTCGGTGTCGAATGATCGGCATGCCAGTGGGAGATTCGGACGTCACAACTCGAAAGAACTGGCGGTACCCCGATTCCTGCTGAGGCAAAGCCTCGTGGGGTGTGCTGTCCGTCATCCAAATGAGCTCATTGGCGTCCAACTTTTGACCCTGACCAAGCAGTGGGCGCAAGTGCTCACAGCCACCGTGATGATCCACGATTCCAGGAGTGGATTTATCTACCAAGGCGTGCCAAAGCTGGCTGGTATTGGCGACAGTAGAGGCCATGAAAATTCCTCCTTCCAGGCGCATGGTTTCGTCGTCCTCCACGTATCTTCCCATTCCCCAATGGAAATGAACTACGGGCTTTCTATGGGAGCTGTATGCTTCGATGTTTCCGAGTTCCTCGGCAGTGGAGACACCGGGGGCTTCAATGTGAAGACCTTGTCTCCTTTGAGCCTTGGTGGCGTCGACAAAGCTCTCGTGCACAGTGAGGTATCCAACTGACGACCCCTCGAACAGATTGGGGTCCATGTAGGGGCACTCCTCAATCAGATGCCAGTAGCACTGATATTCCACAGGCAAAGAGTCCTTGTCGCCAAACCGAAACGGCATCATGTTGATGTTCCTATCGGCGGGTTCTGGAAAGGTTACGTACTTCACCGATACAAAAGCTGCTTTCTTGTCCACATGTCCGTAGTGTGCTGGGCTCGGCGGTTCTGGCCGCTCGCCACTGGCCCAATCGTACCAGACCTGGTGTTCATGAAATCGCATCCATTCGGATCTGTCGGGCCCATGCCTGGGATCAACTTCACCGCGAGACCGATGTGGCCGTTTGTACAAAGTGTACGGTGGGGCTGGCTGTGTGAGATACACGTGGTGTGCCCATTTGGAGGCCAGAAAAGAGTAGATGTGCTTCACAATGGTCTCTTCTTGTCCCTGTAGGCTTTGGAGAGGACACACAGTGTCGTGAATCCCTTCCAAGATAGTTCGGAGGCAGGTTCCCCATCCGTAGCGCTCGCAACGATAAACAGACGCAGCCACACCCGGCAAAGGACTCGTGCTGTCCATAGTTTCATACTGTGAGCCCGAAGCGCTCAGCTCGGTCCGCTCCTGGTTTCGTGGACCTTCAAGGCTCGTGGGTCGAGTTTTCGATGCCATTTCTCTTGTCTCCTATCGTTGTTCTCTTCCTCTATATGTGTTTGTGCTGTCTGTCGTGTTTGTTTCTATGGAAATGCAAGAGAGCTTTGTTTCTTTTCGGATTCAGACGTGTGTGTGTGTGTGTGTGTATAGGTGTGTGTACATGAGTGCTGTGTGAGATGTGTGGTGTTGTGTGAGATGTGTGTAGATACTACTAGGAGTTAATCTACGACGAATCTACCATTTGGATGTTTATCCATGGGGTATACCGTTGCTTGCTGATTTCCAAATTCTGAGCTTAAGAATTCCTGTAGGACAGTAGGTTACCAAGGTTGGGGGG